AATCCTGTCCGGCGGGCCTTGAAATTTTCGGGGTTCGTCGGCGTCCAGCTCCATGGGTCCATTTTTGTCGAAAATGCGAAAACATGACCTCCTGCTGGCCAGGCCTGTCTGAGGTGTCTGAGACTAGGCTCAGGCCCAGCCCAACCAGCAACCCGCCTGCTGGCCAGGCCTGTCAGCCAGCCCAGCCAGGTTTAGGCCCAAGCTTGTCAGGCTCAGCCCAGTGTGCCAAGGTCGGTTTGTCTAACGTGTCTGAGACTGGCCTCAGGCCAACGACCAGTCTCACGTGTCTGCTACTACCCCAGCCCCTCAGTCCGGCTAAGCAGCTCAGCCCAGGCCGACCTCCTGCTCGCGTCTGGCCCCAAGTCATCCAGCAGGCCCAGCCCCTTCGGCTGGGCAATCTGACACTGGTCTCAAAGTATGCCAGCCTGAGAGTAGCCTCAGTCCGTCTGCGACTGGCCTCAGGCCCAGCCCAGCCAGCAACTCGCCACCCAGGCTCAGGCCCAAGTGTGTATGAAACAGGCCTTGCCCATCCGCCCAAGCACAGCTCAGCCCAGCCCGTAGTCTGCCCAGCCCAGGCCCCGGCGCATCTCAGGCATGCCAGCCACTAGGCCGGCCCCCAGCTCCCAGCCCACCCGTGCCAAGGTCAGGCCTCAGGCCAACACGTGTCTGAGACTGGTCTCAAGCTTTGCCAGCTGCTAAGCCTGTCTGACGTGCCCCAGCCCCTCAGTCCGGAGCTCCCAGGCTGGCCAGGCCTTGACCTCCTATCCAGCAGCCCCAGCCCCTTCGGCGCAGTCTCAAAGTATCCCGCCTGCTGGCGTGTCTTATCTGCGACTGGCCTCAGCCCAGCCCAGCCAGCAACTCGCCACCCAGCCTCAGGCCCAAGTGTGTATGAAACAGGCCTTGCCCATCCAGCAACCCGCCCAAGCACAGCTCAGCCCAGCCCGCACAGCCAAAGTTCCAGGCGCAAAAAGTCTAACGTGCCTGAGACTGGCCTCAGGCCAACGACCAGTCTGACGTGTCTGAGACTGGTCTCAAGCTTCGCCAGCTACCAAGCCGGTCTGACGTGCCCCAGCCCCCCAGTCCGGCTGCCCAAGCAGCTCAGCCCAGGCTGACCAGGCCTTGACCTCCTGCTCGTGTCTGGCCCCAAGTCATCCAGCAGGCCCAGCCCCTTCGGCGTCTCAAGGTATGCCAGCCTGAGACCCACCATGTACCTGTCTTGGGCTGAGCAACCGAGCAAGAAATGTATGTCATGGCAAGCCGCCAGCCACGTGAAATGGAGGTGCCCAAACACCCAAAGTTGGTCGTGGTTGTTCAGTGACACCAATTATTGTTCCCCGCCAAGCCCCACTAAAAATGCTCATCCCCAGAAAGAGGTCCTTTTTTTTCCAAGGGCACTGAGCAGCTGAGATAGTCTTGGTTTTGGATTTCAAACCTTCCGAGCAGGACGGCTTCCGAACATTGAACTAGCACGGGCGAACTGGTGCGGTCACAAGCTTTCAGTAGGATTCGGACCTTCCCAACACTGGATTTCGGTGTTCCTGACCCTTCCCTCAAAATAGGCTGGGCCGAGGCGGGCAACGCGAAGCGTTTACAATTACAGCCCCAACCACATGGAGCCTGAGTGGGGGGTCTTGGAAGACAGAAGGGGACTTCTGGTGGGTTCCATGGGAGCGCGAATGTCCGAGAAGCTCAGCACGACACCCCCCACTCCTAATCGTGAAACGGACGTGCCTGCCCCCTCCATACATTGTCTTTCTCGAACCTAGCAGGGGAAGGAATCGCCTTGTTGTTAGGGGAAATTAGGCCCCCAAAACCCCCCTTTCACACACACACACACAATTACTCACTTCCCTAAAGGACCTGGAAATCAAAGCTTGGCCTTTGGGATCTCACCAAAACTGCCCCAAAAAGGGAAGCCCGGCTTTGAACAACTGAGCTTCGGGACATCGGGGCTTGCCCAACGTCCGCCTGGACTTTCCGCATCCGCAATCACCAGCACCAGCTGCGCCAGGAAGCGCGCGAGCCCACAGGAAGCGCGGCCGCTGGTGAGCGCACCCAGGACCTTCCGCCGAAGCCTGAGGTGATGCTACCCCAAAGCTCGAGCGGCCGTCTTTTGTGACTTGGGGGAGGGAGGGCCCTGAATAAGGCCTGATTCAGGGCTTAATAAGGGCTTATTTGGGTCTTCCCCCCCCCTCTCCCTTCCCCCCCAAGCAGGGCTGGGCAAGCAACATGGTTCAAACGGTTTAAACGTCGCGGGCGCTCTAAACGTTTGAGCAAAACAAAAGTCGATGTTTAAACTAAAAGCTGGGCAGATTGTCTAGACACCAACAAGTTTAAACATGGGGGATGTTTCAACCAATTGAACATGTTTGCACGTCCGCGAACGTTTGAGCTGTGCCTGCCGGAGTCCACCCAAACACCCGGAAACCATCACCCTTGCAACATCGGAAGCAAACTGTCAAAAGCAGCTGGCAACGCACACCCCAAAAAGCTTAAACCCTGTGGGGGGGGGGGGGGGAGCTGCTTAAACAATCAAACGAGCTTTGTAATTACCCCCAGGGGCCACTTTAACTTGCTTAAACTTAACCCCCAGGTCACCCAGGAGCCGTTTAGACACCCCAGAAACACTGGGAGGTGGCGGGTTGTGCTCAAGCATGCTGAAAGTGTGACTAGCTCCTCCCTACACAAAACACAGTAGCCTCGAAATGTTTAAACGCCCATATGTGTTTAAATATGAAGGGCTGGCCGAGCTTTGTTTCAACACCTTTATGTTTATATGCAAAGTCAGTCAAATCGTGTTCAAGTTGAAAGCGATAAACGTGTTTAGCCCGGCCCTGCTCCCAAGCCCCTGTGAGATTTTGAAAGGCGCACCCCATGAAAAAACTGAAGGGCACCACTGGAGGCCTGGGGTGAAGTAAGGCACCCGAGGTTTCAATTCAGTCTGTGATTCCAGCTGCAAGGGAAAAACAAGGGGGTTCGGAAGACGAACGACATGTGTGTGACAGCTTCAACAAGAAGGGAAACAAACAAGCTTCGATGATTTTGCAGCACCCCTTCATGTTCCCTGTTGAGATGGATATAGGAACGAGCGCAGCAACATCACATCGCTGATTTCAATCGAGAATGCCAAATGATGACATCTGAACGGGAAGCTCGTGGAAATCGGAGAGAACCTAAGAGCATCAGTAGGCCTCCCGCCATGAGTTGATGCAATCCGTTCTGATGGAGGTTGATCAAGATTGGCCCCTGCAAATGACCGTGAGAAACCTTTCCTGTTTAGGAAAGCCATCTGTTTGATGGATTCCCGAATGCTCATCCCATCAAAAACCTTTTGGCCAACCTCCACAATCGTTTGGGATCGGCGCCGGATGGCTTTGAAGAGCCTTACCGGGATCACATGAGCAGCGCCAAATACTAGCAAGGTGACAGGCAAATGCCGAAATCGCTATGGCCCCTATTAAAACCCACGTGCATACACCTACTAAAATTGTTGTAGTCGCGCTGCTCACATGGTGCAAACTGCAAAGCCGCTGGAAAATGAGATGGCCTAAATGGATCAAGCGTCTTTCAATGAGCCAGGTGCTAGTTCAACTGACTGAAGTGCTTCTTTCTGGCCCCCTTCAACAAAATCGGGACCGCTCTCAAAAAAGGACCAAGCACCCAGCTGCCCAGCAAGAGGGACCCCTTACCAAAAAGAGTGCGCTGAATCACGGCGGACGGGAGTTCCATGTGCCTCATCTTGGGAAGCCTTTCTTCTCAACCCCCCCCCCCAGTGTTTTTGGGGCCCATCAACCATGATAACATGGAGGTCAATATGGTCAAACAGGTTTGGCGAAAAAGATGGGTGCGAAACATGTCTGGAAATCTGTCCCATGCCCTTGTTTTTCCCATTGGGTAAGTCTTTACAATGGTGGCTGCTACTCTGCTAAATGGCCATGGGTCAAATCAGAATCGTACCCCCAGTGAACATCCCAATCCCCACTAAAATAGGTTCTAAAATGGGTGGTGAATTCACAAATCCCCCAAAATGAGATCCCACTGGTTTTGACCCACGCCCACGCACCCAGCGGGCCCAATCCACGTCGAAGCGCTGTGGCTCGAAGACATCCGCGGCTTTGGCCGCCGCGCTGAGCAGCTCAGCAGAGGCCAAGGGCTGATGGAGGCAGGCGGAATCGTCCAAGACCCCTGGCGAAGGGCAATGGGTCTCTTGGGGTCTGGGTGCCAAAAGGGGGGGGGGGTATGGGGCAGATCAAGCAATGACTCATCTAACTTTTGACCTTTCTGCCGGATAGAATTGTACCATCGGATATTTAGCAGCACGCGAGTGGCTCCGGGACACGAAATGGTGGTTCCCTTCCAAATCCAAATAAGATTCCTCTGGCTTGGTGGGTTCCGTGTGAATCTGGAGACACCCAAACATTGTTCGCATCAAATCCTTCAAACATGTCCTTGGCTCCTTACAGCCCCTTGGGCAACTTTGGATACCGGGCCCCTGCTCCCTTCCCAACCAGCGGGATACCGGGTCCTTCCCTTCGTCCGGCTCCCTTAGCGATACCCCCAGCTCCCTTGATGCGGCTCCCTTAGCGCAAATCGAATGAGATTCTCACCATTCCTGGCCTTCCCAGAAGCTCTCGCTGCCCAAGCCGCTGCAAAGCGGAAGCGCGAGACATGCCAGAAGACGCATGGGGAGCAGGAACTAGATGGCGCCAATTCTCCCTACAATTTGCGCCTCGTGGGCATAACGGGGCTGAAACCAATCTAACTTTTCCGATAGGGATTGCGGCTTGTGGGTAAGGGGTGAAACCGATCTACTTTCACCCAACTGCAGCCGTCAGACAAAAGAAACTGCTGACGGCCTGCATGGCTACATAAACGTCAAAGGGTCCGAGTACTTTTCAAACGCGCAACCCTTGTTTTGAAGAAACCAAGTCTGAGAATGTTTGAGATCGCTTCGTTGCGAACGGCAAGAAACACTCTTGTGATGCGGACCCCAAAAAAGA